CAACAGAGCACGAATGTACATGGAGTTCAAAATGTACGTTTGCTTATAAGAATGAATATTTCTATCATATTAATCGCGCTTTTCTTCACCACTACTCAAAAAATGAAGAAAAGACATACAGTATAGAAATTACCAAAGTGACTATGTCGACGTTGAAACAAAATTCACATTTATTCTAACTGAAATATGTAAATGCTTGCATGTAATACATATCACATTGTTAAAATACGTGTTCAATGTTATAATGAAGGGATTATGTGTATTCTTTGAAACAGCGAGGACGTAGATGGAGCAGAACTGAAAGAGTTTTGAATGATAGACCATTTCAATAAGAGGTGACTACACTAGAATTTTCATCGTTAATACTGAGGCAACAACTGTTTATTAGAGGTTTCGAAGGATTGGAAGGAACTGGCTCCATACAACTCACCTGAAAACAATGTTAAACACTCTGTGATTTCGAGCAAATCGCTAAAAACGTATCCTTAATTTCCGACGTCTGGCGGTTTGATTATATCGCTTTTTAGGCGAATGAATATTGATACATTTCACCATATAGGTAAACAAAGATATTTAAAAGGATTGAACAAAAGGTAGTTACTGTTATGCCGTTTTGGCGGAGGTTCTAATAGCGCGAGAGGCGACTGACTATGAACATTACTAAAGACCAATTGTACCCCCGTAACTAAGTGTGATATTTTCCATTATTCAACGAGAGACTAAACGGCCTAATCCATTATTGAGATATATTTGCTCGCGAAGCAGCGTTATCGAAAGTATATCGAAACGGTACCAGAGAAGAAGGACGAGCAGTTAATCAAAATCGCAGCAAGGCATTCGGAAAGTTTGTGATTATGCGAATCAGCGTAGAGTGCAGTCCAAACATATACAGGAACCATTGGTTAAAATGATGAGACATTCTCTTTTCCACTTGAAAAAGTGAAGTAACAGTAAATAATTCAAAGTAAAACGATTTTTAACTTATGGGTTTTCTGGAGATATTAGTCCTAGTTAGGCTTTTCTACAAACGCGTCTCAACTATCATCTTTATTACCCACATGAATACTAGCGATCTTGTCTTAGATAAGTGTAATAAACCATTTCGTCTGACAGCATATACCGGACGGAAGATAGCAACTTGTTATTGTTCAATAAATCTCGTTTCATTGTCCGCTTTCCGACAACCAATAATGACTGAAAACACCTTGAGCGTTTTCAGGTAACCGCATTATGCTAATGAACTATGGGAACATTAGTAAAGGAAAATACAGGACGAATAACTAAACAGCGTACTGACCTCAAAGATGCACAGATTAAAAATGAATGACATTCTCGAGGTATGTAACAAGTGAAGGTAACGTTGTCTAATAAAACCGTTTGCTGATCACGCTTTTATACACTGCCACACATAAACGTGATCATTTGATTAGCTTCATTGATAACTTGTTATAATAATTCGATAACATTATCAACTATCTATACTAGTAAGTTAGCCGACGGAGCGATCGATCATCTTTAATATTTTTGGTATTTTGGTTCTTGCATACACTACGTCATTCTTCAGTACAAGACACTAGGCTCAATCGCCTATACTTTTTTCTTTCTCATGTATGTCTGCCTAAATAAACGATAAACTCTACTGAAAGTCAGTCATATCTCTAGATCCACTAATCTATGTCTCCAACAATTTTTCGATGTAGCACATATATTTATAAATTTGCGGCTCTTAAATAACTGTGGTCAAGTCGCCTCAATTCAGGCAGGGTTTCATAGAATCTAAGACATCATCTCCTGATAGGTCGTCAAGCATCACTATTACCACCATTGCAGGTAAACATGACTGATATCCAGGGATTCGCTCTTTGAAAAGTGCTTCTTATCATCAATAAACAGAATTACGCACACATTTAGATTCATGTTGTAGAGAAAATGGTGATAACGACCATTCGACTAACTAAATACACAAAGTAATACGAGAACATTGAAAATTCCACATGTTTCCATTATGATTTGCCTTATATCTACATTCTCCGATTAGACATATAAGGTTGGCTAACTGAGAGGATGTTTAATCGTTTCCGTATATAAGTACTGTCACGCGTTCGTTGATATGGTTTACTGTACTGTTCATTGATTAGGTTTATTGTATTTTAGACTGGTTTACGGAATTCGTTTTTTTTGCATGATTTCGCTTTGTTAAGTGGTCCAAAGTTCAATATTATTGTAATCACTTGTAAATCAGTGTTTGTTTTAAAGTAACTAGTGTATAAGGTTATAAATTTCGGTGATTGTGTGGAATTGTATTGAATGAACGTTGGGGAAGCTTGATGTGAGTTTGTGAATTTTCAGAACATGATTTGCTAGTGCTTTAATTTTACTGATTTCATTTAGTATTTTATCGCACTAAATTCATGAAAACAATAAACTGACCAATTCCTTGAATATATGTGAGTAGGTTGATAGAAAGATAGGCAGATATGCAGATACACAACGTAGAAAGATAGATTAGTAAACAGGTAGATAGATAAAGAAACCTAATAGTTACTCTTCGTCAATTTTGAACTGATTACAACAGTGCATAACTTACTACTTGTCTGACGTCTATAATATTTTTTTGGAATGTACATCAGTTCATAAAGCGTTAAAAGTCAGAGAAGTAAGTGCAACAATAGGTATTCAGGTCATTTATTTATTTCCATATAATGATTTATCGTGATTAATAAAATCTAACATTTTCGCCAATTCAGTTGAAATTGGACTCAATCATTTTATCCATTCTAATTAATTCAACCATGATAAAATGGGCATTCAGTTCAATGTCAGAAGCAAGTAAGAAAAGCATATGTGACAGGACAACTTGGTGTACGTAAGTTATTGATGTTGATTTAAGACTGTTGCATCATACCGGACAGATTCAACTCAACTGGATGGACAGAGCCACGCCTAGCATCTGCTTTTATTTTATTGTGAGTTATGAAAGTTGACAATAATTAAATATTTTAATTCGAACATAATTTTATGGATCACATCCTCAACTGATCAATCAGATGTGATTATCTATTCAATAGACAATCCAACAACAAAATGAAAGTGAAGGCATCCTAGTAGAAAATGTTTGCAGTTTATAAATGACTAATACCTGATCAATATGATAATCCTTTACCGATTATTATCATTGTCGCATTATATGATCATCCTCAGAATATATCCATATAATAAACGTAACTCATCTTAAATTCTGACCACTTTTTGACTGTTTTTATTAAAGAGTAAACTGCTACGGACTAGTATTATGCTCAATCAACAAGTTGATTTATTTTGTTTTACTTTTTTATTCACATAACAGAAGCATCGCTCTAATATTGACACAAATTATAATATTCATCAAAGCATTGCATACCGCTTCTACAAGGAATAACGTCTTTATGATTATAACAGTAAGCCGAACATGATTTCAAATGATATTCATGATTTCATATATATATACATTGAGCCTCCAGAGATTTATTTCTGATTTCATCTTTGTCAGAATTAAATTTATCAAACACCCATAATGAAATGCGTATCTCGGAATATCAAATGAATCAGAGGTAACTGTGAGTTCGATGATAGAGAAATTTAGATCGCAGTTGGACAGCAGACATTGGGTGAACATAACGGGAGGATGCACGAACAGATAATCAACTGATTGTCAGAATCTCTTTTTAAATTGCAGTGGCGATACTGTAAACGTGCTGGAGAACTAAACTAAATTTACTTCAGTCTTCTTGATTTGTATTTGCCGCTCGATGCTTAGTTAACCTTCCACATTGTGTATGGCTTCACTTGAGGCTTTAAAAGGAAGTTCTACCCAGCTGATTAGGTTGCTTTCTGCTACACAAATTTTTTTTATTTTCCATGTGAGATGATGAAGTTACATTCACACTTATAATGAATATGCACATTTGTCGAATAAACAACTCTGAATTTCCGTACTGCACACCCGGATGAGCAACATCTAACATACATTTCAATACTATACCAAGAAAATTTAACTCAACATAATTGAAGACAGTCATTAAACAGTTGTTATCGGATTTGATAAAGGACTTACATTAAAATGACATATTTTTGTTCACTTTTCAGTTGATTATTATGATTGTCGGTGTTGCATTATTGACTTTGTGTGGTGCGTGGTATGAACAGGTCATTGCGGCAATGATGTCATTCTCAGTCATGATCTTTGCTATTGAATTAGTTCTCGGAATGAAAGGTTCTACAGGAAGATGGCGAATGCTATTATTTTCACTTTGGTGTGTATTTATTACACTTGGACTGGTCTGCAGCATTTTGAGTATTATCGAGATGAGTCAGTGTAAAGTAAGTTATCCGGAGGTTCCAAATTCAACGTATAAAAGTAATTACTGATTTGTTGTTACACATCAATTTTGAATGTCACATTATCACTAACAGTTATGAAATATACACGACATTTAGATTTATGCTTCATATGCTTCATTTATTTATTATGTGCGGATGCTAAAAATAAATTGATTTTCAATCATTTTGTAAAGTTGACCATACAGAAACATTGTTACCTATTTTGCAGTTTTTTTGTGAACAAAAAAATATTCGTTGTACAGAAGCGATGATTTCTTATGTTAAACTGAGACTGACGAGGATGTCCAATCTGCCATAGTACAGTCATGTCAGTCAGCAAATCTGTGGATGAATAATATTTTAGGAATGAAGATCACAAAATGATTTGTAATTAAGTATTTTCTTACATTTTATTCTAGATTGCGTTTCCCGTTTTGTCGGCTATTTGTTGGTTAACAGCAATGTTAATCGTAAGTTTCTGATGGAATACCTAATTCGGATGTATATGTTTATACATACACATTATGAATCGTAAAACATCGTTCTCTAAAGTGAGAGTGCATTCATAAAACCCACACAAGAAATATCCATGACAGTTTTGACACCATATGATAAACGCTTGAGAGCGAGATGTTGATTAGAATGGATTTGAGAATTTCTTTGTTTTTTCGTCTTTAAAATGGATTCTGTCTGAGAAAATTGGTTTATTTAAATATTCGAACAAATCGCTGACTGGCTATTTGCAGAATTTATATCTTGTCAGCGTGTTAGGCATTATATATTCTCTCCATCGGTGAATTAACCTTATTGTATCACATGAATATCAAGTGTTTTATTTCCTTATTTATTGTCAGACTAAACATGACTGGTTTTACAATTACAGGTGATTGCACTGACAACATATTATTTGGTGAAATACCAGGAACTGGAAGAATACTCAATTTTTTATATAAGATTTATAATTTCGTTTGAATTTTTGATACTGCTGATTATTTCACAATTGCATGTCAATTTCATCTTTCATTGTTGTCATTATACTGTGCTTTCTAGTTAAAGTAATTATGTACCATGATCAATAACTGATTGCTTTTCATTTAATACTTTGATAAATGTAAACGTGATCTTGATTTTAAATGGTGAATATCTTACAGGTCATCACAATCTGTAATTAGATTCAATTGAATTACAATTAACGCCCCTAATTGCAATAATAATAGCATCTACTCCGTACTACAGTGTGATGTTTATTTGATTCAGATAGTCATCATTGAGACATTAGTTGATTACAGTATTACAGTTATGCCAACAGATGAATCGAGTACTTGAAACATTTAGCTGCTTGCCTCTCTTGAAACTCAACAAATCATCCCGTACATGACGAGTGTCTGTAAAATTAAAGTGCAGTAAATTTTGACCTGAGGACTTAATACAGTGGGGTTGTTTATGGAGATCGAACGAATCCATCACTTCGCCATAATTTCTAAACAGTGATGAAATCATGATTTTCTGTACTCAAAATGTGTTTAAGCTGCGCAATTTGATAACATAAGCTACAAACATTAGCACAGAATTCCTTCAATCATGTGCAACGATTCAGAGTGTATATTGAATGGTCTAGGAATTGTTTGTCTCCGATATTTCTTAAAATAAAGACCCTTAAGCAATAGAATCGTTCACGGTTTTTTTACTTCGTCTCATTCAATCAAACGAGAGCATCTTAAACTTTATGGTTCAACCATGAAGTTGTTGCTTGCATCAATGGCACCAGACCATTGTTCGATTTTGTTCTGACAAGCACTACATTCGTATGCCATCAGTTATCAAGTACATTCGACTTACGGTAAAGGAAGAAACCAGCATTTATTCATCAATGAATCATGAGGGATAGAATGCCTAATCAATTATCTGACGGAACGCAAGTAAAAAATAGTCTGATTGGAAGCAACTGAATATATTCTCTTCAACAGATAGTTTTCAGGAAGTATTCATCAACTTCATTGTGCTGAAGTTAATTTGTATTAACTTTCTCTTTTATTTAAAAAGGCAGATCCACCTACTTTAAGTGTATTTGTGTTTTCGGCTGTCGGAAGATGAGAACAGTGCAGTGCAAGAAGGTCCAAACCTAATTTACACATGCGTTGATACTGTGTCCATGTAGAGAGAACGCTTTGATAAGCTAGATTGCATTTCAAGTAATTTAGGCGGTGCAATTCTAATGATAAGTGTGTAATGAACAATTTCATAACGATATATTAATATTTTGTTCTCTTTTTACAATATATATTGAAAGATATCATAGTTCACAATGAAATTATATTTTGGAAACATTTACAAGTTTAAGGAATGATAATCATGTGAATGATGATTGGATGATACCTCACGTTATTTGAACAAATGATCGAAGAAAAATCGCTGACTGATAATTTACAGGATTTATTTCATATGACTGTGTTATACATCAGTGAAACCCCTTTATTGTATCAAGTTAATATGACGTTAATATGACGGATGATCAATAATTGATTGCTATTCATAATATACACTGAAAATATCTATCTACTATTCTCTTTAAATATAATGATTAACTACTGGACTTTCTGTATCATGTGCATGAAACCTAACTGTAGACCATTGACGTAGATTGATAAAAAGTGCATACAATTTGGATGAAATACGTAACATAACAGTAGTGTTTTCTTTCGATAGTTTCAAAGTTTCAGATATTTTGCAAGCGTATGTAGAAATAAAAATCAAACTTAATATAAACGACAAGTGATTAAAGTGAAATGAATGAATGATGAGACGCTACACAATATTGGAGATTAATAACAGTAATTGTTCGATTATTCGGCGGTAAAAAAACTGTAAAACTTTCGTTTGATCAAACCACTTACCATGAAGAGCTCTGAAACACCAAGTAGTTATGACGATATATGAATAATTGAATCATAAAAATCGAAATTTCAAGGTGAAAATAGTAGGTGATCACCACACCTCATGAAAAACGTACTTTAATAAAATAATGTTAACCATTTTTTTCATCTATAACATTCATCTTAAACGGAAAAAATGGAAATCAATATGGCGACAGAATGGATTGATTCAAAAGTAACATTTTTGCTTTTGAGACTATACGGATACGGAAAACATTGGTAGAATATTTCTTCAATAAAAATATTCAGGAACATACTTATATCTGACTGTTTCAATTACCCTAAGATATTTTAATGAGCTCGAAGTACCCTACTAATGAGTAGCAGATTTTAATATGTTTTGAATTTACTTGTCCGTTAGTTCATAATAATAAAATGAACAGATAATAATAAACTTTTACACAGTCGTCAAACTTTTGTCAGATTCCAACATATTTTAGTCTAGTCAAGCTGTTCGTTCATTTAACTGGTGACCTCAAAGCATTATTATGCAATAACCTATTCATAGAGCAACTTATTAAATGTGACAGTTCACAAATAACTGGTTTAGTATTCTGCAGTCAGTCACCAAATACACTAATAAATATCACAGTCAATACATAATACACCATCAATAATCCTTCAGAGATGCATCTCTAAATACGTTTTCAGCAGTTGCAAGTCGACGTTAATTATGATCACTATTACAGATTAGAATAACTGAAATACAAATATTACAGAGAAACAATCACTGACAGGTTTATAAATGGAACAGGCAAACTCTTAATGTCAAAGTCAGCTGTGTCAATTTTCTTTCTTTCGTCCCTTTTTCCTTAAGTGTTCCAGGACAGCTATTTTTACGTTATCTGTGACCTTAACTTTGCTTACTTATATACGATAGTCTCGCCTTTAAAGGTTAGCACTATCTCCGTATCATTTTTACACCTTGAGGTCTTCAATAAATATATAAAATTCAAAATCTACAGTTTTCCTTCTAATTCTCTGTCCGGGTAGATAATACGTAGTTCGAATATTGTTGGAGCCGGGAGGACGATTCACAGTTGCTACAGAAATGAAATGATACAACATGGAGTTACTTAGAGTCAGTCAAAAACATTGTACGCAGGTAGAACAGCTGAGACTAGCTACAGGTCAACTGCTGTTCTACTCTAATCATGAAGAACTAAAGAGTTCGCCTACGCCAGTGGTTGCACTGACGTTGTTCAAACAAGCCAAAAATGCAACGATAAAATGGGAACCTCATGGACACAGAATCATCAGAGCATCATAAAAAATCAAGAAATACAACATTAAAATGAAGGTTGTCCAAAGCTGCACTCGAACGTCGAGAAATGCTCTTTAAATTATTTGACGATCTTATAGGGAGACCTAAATGCCAAGGTTGACAGGGCCAACACTGGATATGAAGACAACCTTGGACGATATTGACTATGACGCAGGAATGAAGAGAGTTAGAGATTTGCAAACCAATGTGCCTTCAACAAACTAGACATCAACGGCACAATATTTCCACACTGCCGCATACATAAACGTAGATGGATTTCATCAAATCTTGCTATCCAGAACCAGAATGAACAAACACCTATAAATGAGAAATTCAGGAAGAACGTGGGAGATGTTTGAACCAAGAGATGGGCTGAAATAGATTCAGATCACCACTTTCTGATGGCCAAAATGAAACCAGATTGTTCAAATCCATGCAGGCCAACCAACAGTTGACGAGATCAATATGACTACCAGACAATATTTAAGGAGAGGCAATAAAAGCAGAATTACAAGCAACTGCAGAAAAACTTCACATTATCTTTAGGAAGATTCATGATGACGAACAAGTATCATCAGACTGAAAACCAGGATCCTTAATCAAGAAATCAAAGAAAGGCGATCTCAGAAAGTGTGTGAACTACTGAGGCACCACTCTTCTGTCGTTATGACGCAAAGTTTTCAACAGAAAAGGGACTTCGAAGACGCGCGTTCTCGAGATCAACAGGCTGTAGTTTGTAAGAATCGATTGTCTACCGATCAAACTAAAACATGACGGATAATTGTTTAACGATTAGTTGAATGGAACCAACCATTCTACATCAACTTTATTGACCACGAGAAAGTATTAGATAGCGTGAATGTTCTTCGACAATACGGCGTGCCTGAACAGATGGTCAAAATCATACGGAATTCTTATGACGGAATAAACTGCAAAATCGTTCATGGAGGTTGGCTGACTGACATATGTCGGAACAGGTTGCTCACTCTCATTTTTTCTGTTTCTCCTAGTGCTTGACTGGATTATGAAAGTGTCAACATCTGGAGGGAAGCGGTGTACGCACTGGATAGCAAAAATGCAGCTAGACGATTTGAACTTCGCAAACAACCAGGCTCAACTGTCGTCCACGTTGCAACAAGTGCCAGGGAAGACAACCAGTCTAACGTCAGGTCACAATATACATCAAGGCGAAAGCAATACAACACAGCATGCGCCAACCAAATCACATTTGATTGAGACACTTTAACGGACGGTAAAACCTCAACGTATCTGGACATCATCATCGACAACAAAAGTGAATCCAATGCAGACGTGAGCGCGCTACTGGGCAAAGTGAATGGTGCATTTTACACCTGGAACTCCAAAAGAATATCAATCAATACCAAAATCAGCACTTTTAATACAAATGTCACGTGAGTTCTATTGTATGAAGCAGAAAATTGAAGATCGACGAAAGCCATCATCAAGAAAATTTAAGTATTCATTACCAGCCGTTTTCTCCAAATACTGAAGATTCAATATCCATTCACCATTGGCACAAATACACTGTCGTATATGACAAACGACATTCCAGTGGAGGAAGATATCAGTAAGAAGCGGTGGAATTGGAAAGGACAAAAACTGGGAAAAGCACCAAACTGAGTCACTAGACAAGCCATTTCTCGCAACAGCCAGAGTTAAAAGGAGAACAGAAAATCCACAAAATGCTTCACCACCAGATATAAAGAAATATACAAGGAGAATTGACAAAAGTTAGACAGAACTAGAATAATAAGCCCAGGACAGCGTTGGTTGAAGAAATCTGGTCGACCGCCAATGCTCTAGTGGGGGCAAACAGGCGTTAGTAAGCAAGTAATGTAACCA